GGGAAGAAGCTATCCTTATGGAAGGCAGCTATTTTTAAGGCAAAGGAGATTAGCTTAAAATAAATAACTTAAAAGGAGGTGGCTAAGCATCCTGCCTCCATATTAACATAGAAAAGACACGCTTGAATCTTTCCAAGATAAAAGATTGTTACTGTTGTTGTTGTTGTTTTAAAAAAAGCATACATTTAAAATGAAATTTCTTTGTCTACTGTCAGATCTAATCCTCAGTTGTGTCCACTGAGCTAATATTCTCAATTGTTCCAAAATGGGGATCTTGTCTTGGCTCCTGGACGTCTTGGTTTCTGGAGCTTGGAGAATGTGACTGACGGTAGACGTTGAGGTGGTCTACTCGGGTGGTCTACTCTGATCTGTTGGTCTACTCTTGAGGACCCCTGAAGATTCAACTGGTAGTGTATCGCTGTCACAGCCTACAGGCTTCAGCAGAGAGGTATCTGCCGCCTGCCCCACCAGGAGATGCTTCCTTGTTCCACCAGATGCTTGCAGGGACCTTGGATCACAATGCTCAACTGCCCAGGATCTGGACTCAAGATCTGGCCATCATCACCCTTGGAATAGAGGAGCCGGTCTATTCAGGAGTCTAACTAGTTGAGGAATTGAGACTGGCGGTCGTAAGAATTACAGAATAACAAAAGAGTTGGAAGAGATCATGCAGGACTTTTAGTCCAATACTCTGTTCAAGCAGGTCAGCTTATAACATGTCAGACCATTATCTGTCCAGTCTCTTCTTCAAAACCTCCAGTGATGGAGCACCCACAACTTCTGGAGACAACTTCCATTCCACTGGTGAACTGTTCTCACTGTCAGGAAATTTCTCCTTAATGCTAGGTTGCTTCTCTCCTCGATTAATTTCCATCCGTTGCTTCTTCTCCTGCCTTCAGGGGCTTTGGAGAATGGGTTGACCCCCCACCTTTTCTTTGTGGCAGCCCCTCAAATATTGGAAGACTGTTATGTCGCCCTTAATTCTTCTTTTCATCAAAGTAGACATACCCAGTTCCTGCAACTGGAAGGGACCTTGGAGGTCTTCTAGTCCAACCCCCTGCTCTGGCAGGAGACCCTATACCATTCCAGACAGATGGCTGTCCAGTCTCTTCTTAAAAGCCTCCAGTGATGGAGCACCCACAACTTCTGGAGAGAAGCTGTTCCACTGATTATTCTGTCAGGAAATTTGTTCTTAATTCTAAGTTGGATCTCTCCTTGATACGTTTCCATCCGTTGCTCCTTGTCCTGCCTTCAGGTGCTTTGGAGAACAGGTTGACACCCTTCCCCCATCTTTTTTGTGGCATGGGAAGACTGCTACCATGTCACCCCTGGTCCTTCTCTTTGTCAAGACTAGGCATGCCTAGTTCTCTCAACCGTTCATCATATGCTTTAACTTCCAGATTCCTAATCATCTTCCTTGTTCTTCTCTGCACTCTTTCCAGAGTCTCAAGATGGAACCCAGTCAGGCCATCGGATTGGACCATTCAGTCCACATTCTGCAGTTCACCACGGCCACACAGATGCTTCGGTTAAACTCCCAATCCTGGATGCGGAGGGCAGTAGATCCCTCCTATCACCTCCCATCCTCCACCGGGTCATAAACAGCCGTAGCTATTAGTGGTTTCTCCTGTGTAAACCAAAGAAGTCCACTTTTGCAGCCATCCAGGCAATTCCTGGCTGCAAATTCCACTATTTCTCTCAGGGTTCTGGAAGCTGGGAGGAGGGGGGAGGAGGTGACAGGCTCAGACAAGACTAAAGGGCAGCTTGAGGTTCTTCCAATCTCTTCGGCAGGCTTTGGGAAGGGGGCGAAAGAAGCCATCCCCCCCACCTGCCACCCCCAAAAGTGACCCAGTTACACGAAGATAATAAAGGCTTCGGAGCCAAACCAAAGCCGTCAATCAGCGAGAAAAGGAATACGTTTGCTGCTTCCCAATGCCTCTTGCTTTCTACCTGCTTCACCCCCCCCCCTTCCAAAAAAATAAAAAATAAAAAAGAGCAAGGAAAGGCTGGCATCTTGTATCCGACTCTGCCTGGCATCCTGTTCCCTTCTCAGCACTCGGAGCATATGGCACGCTGCTTTACAACCCTCGCCCCATGGATAGGAGACCGCTGGGGGTGTGTGTTTCTTTTCCCAAAGCCAATGTTGCCGAATATAAATTGTAATTAAAACCGATGCCAAAACGGCACTTAGAGAAAATAAGTGCGTTATTAACATCTGCTGAAGCCTGCCTGGAGAGACACCCACCACCACCACCCACCCACCCGTCGCCCGAACGCTCCTTGGCATTACGATGACTTGTGGCGGAGGGGCTTCAGCGCAGCGAGGCTGGGGTGGTGGGGCGGGAGGGGGAAAGATGCCTCTTGGGGCCCTTCCTTAGGATTGTGTACTGCCCCGCTGGCCTGTACCCAGGGGCAGAGGTTGCCCTCAATGTACAACCGTTCGAAGTTGCAAGGGCACTGCAAAAAGGGACTTAGGAGCGGCTTTCGAACTGACGAGCCGTTGCAGCGTCACAGGATCGAAATTCGGACGCTTGGCAACTGACTTGTGCTTATGACGGGTGGCAGCGTCCCCTTTTTGCGACCTTCTGGCCAGCAAAGTCCAGGGGGAGGCCAGATTGACTTAATGACTGTGTTACTAAGTTAACACCTGCAATGATCCACTTAACAACTGTGGCAAGAAAAGTGGCAAAACGGGGACAAAACTCACTCACTTAACGAACGTCTCGCTTAACAAAACGAATCTTGGAAGCAGAGCTACCTGTGAAGGATTGGATGGATGGGAAACAGCGGTTCGTGCCAAATTAGGAGAGAACAAGCTAAGTGGACCCATGGCTTCGAGGCACATTTCTGCCATGTGAAAACACACACACACACACACACACACACACACACACACAGAGTGGGTTTTTTTTAAAAAAAAAGAATAGAATTGCAAACAAAAGGTGTACAGAAATGTTTATATGCCATCTGGATAGGTAAATCCACTGTTAAACCACTTAACACTGAGATCAGCATCACTTCTGAATGTGCACGCGCGTATACACACCCACACCCACACACGCACGCAGTTACAGATACCCAAGCAGGCTGGTGATTCTGAGCACGGAGCAGCCCAAGCGAGTCGTGAGGGATTGAAAACAAAACGAAACAAAAAAAAAAGCCAAAAAAAACCAAGCAGGGCAAGGGGTGCCCCGACGTCACACTATTCTTTGGAAAATGAATGCCTAAGTGACACCCCCCCCCCGCCCCAAGGACAAAGTTACTGGCTGTCCTCCTGCAGGTGGAACACAGATTCCCTAGAAACACCCCCACCCACCCCAAACGATCCTCTAAAACAGGGGCATCCAACCTTGGCCCCTTTAAGACTTGTAGGACTTCAACTCCCAGAATTCCAGCTGGCCAAGGAATTCTGGGAGTTGAAGTCCATCGGTCTGGAAGGAGTCAAGGTTGGACAGCCTTACTCTGTAAAACCTAGACAATCAAGAGCAGAAGAACAGGCTCAAAGTTAGCTCTGTGGTAGCCCTAACCCTTATCTGTCCCTCAGGGGAACACCGGACACTAGTGGCGTTTTGTCAAGGACTAGAAACTTAAGGGTCAATCCGAGACAGGACCTTTAGCGCCGCAGCTTGCTTTGAGATACCTCTCTTCAAAAGGATGTCTGATTTGGGGGGGGGGGAGAAAAGGAGAAGGCATGGACCCCCTTCTTCACAAGGGGGTCTTGTCTATAAAATCATCCGAATGTCACCTACAGGAGGACTGGAGAAGACACGCTGGCTAAGTTCCGCCATCTTCTCCTGCAACCTCACTTGTCTAGCCGAACACGAGATGGACGACTGCCGCTTTGCCAGATTACGTTCTTGATTATTATTATTATTTAGATCCACAACTGCTCTGTGCCAAAGTGGGATTTAGGTACGAGGAGGGTTGTGCTCCTGCTAAAATAAGCGCTAAAAAATAGCGGAGAAGAAACAGGCAACATTCAGAACGATTGCGAGCAATCTGAGCCATCCCCTTCTGGGCCTTTAATGTTGACGGGGCGGCTTCTTGCTTCTGGCCAGGAAAACAGTAACGCCGCTCTTAAATGTCTTTCTGATTCTCGAGGGGTTTTTCAGGAAAGAGGAAGGGGCTCTGGACCCCCAAGAAAGCTGAAGGAAGGGCACGCTGGTCAAGATTAGCCAAATTTGGCTAAGCAACTGGAGTTAAGCAAGTGTTAAAATTTCCAAATTCACCTGGATTCCCACAGTTTAAGACAGGGGTCTTCAAACTTGGCCCTTTTATGCCTTGTGGACTTCAACTCCCAGAATTCCTCAGCCAGGCACGCGTGCCTGGCTGAGGAATTCTGGGAGTTGAAGTCCACAAGGCATAAAAGGGCCAAGTTTGAAGACCCCTGGTTTAAGACAATTTGTCTTTGGAACCCTTTTTGGAGTGCCTTAAAAATTGACGGAGCGCACAACCCCGAAGCAGAAGAGCGATGTTTCTCAACCTGGGCAACTGTGAGATGCGTGGACTTCCTCTGCGTGCTGGCTGGGGGAATTCTGGGAGTTGAAGTCCCCCCATCATAAAGTTGCGCAGGTTGAGAAAAAACACACAAGGAACTAAGACAGGAAAACCAGGCAGCTTCCACAAAGAAGGGACCGAAATTCCTCTTACCTTGAATCCCACCTCAAGTTAAACAAGAATTCAGACATTAAATAGCAAGGAAGGAACATTATACGGGAAGGCCCCCTTCCTAGTCCCCGACAGTTCCCACGTTCTGCAGAAACAAGGGCTAGAATATTATTTTTTTAAATAAAAAAAAATGGTGGTGGCGATGGCAGGGGTTACAATTTTTTTTTTCCAAGGGCAAACTTGGCCCAAACGGGATCCTCGGAGCAGCATCGAGAACCGAACGGCATTCCAACGACGGTCACGAGACTCAACAAGCAATGACGGTCAACCGAGGAGGAGGAGGAGGAGAAAACAGGCCATCTTCTGGGTCCTAAACCAGGTTGCTTCGCCCGTCACCACCACAGATTGGGCGGTTCCTCGGCCACCCGGCTTTTGAACAAGGTGATCTCGTCCAGGTGCATCATGGGCACGTCCCGGATGACCTCGGTTAGGTCTTCGTGGAGGAGAGGGAACACCACCACGTTCAGCGCCGGTCGGTCAGCCTGGAAACTAACCCAGAAACAAGGATTACGTTTGGAGAAGAAGCCGGAACGGGGCTGTTTTTAGCACGAACGGTTTGCAAACCCCAGATAGCTCCGATCAGGGAGTCCTCGCCTTGCGAGCAAAACTGGGACCAGGATTTCCGTTGCTAAGCAAGGCTTAACTCACCGGTTAAAGCGAGTCTGGCTGGCTGAGGAATTCTGGGAGTTGAGGTCCACAAGTCACAAAAGAGCCACGGTCCCCAACCCCTGTGACCTGGTCCCTTTTCTTGCTCTTTTAGGCATTGTCATGTCTGCCTTCCTCCCACAACTCTAGAATCTACTGTCCTAAATTTTCCGCCGCGCCGTTAATTTCCCCTTATTAAAAAAGGAAGGAAGGAAGGGGCCGTCATAAATTTCTCTCTCATCCCTGTACACACACACAGGGCTGCAGGCATAATTAATGCAACGGGAGAAAGCACTGCGCCAAAGCGTGGTGGTTGTACGCGCGCAGCAGCAAACGAGAGGCTGCAGCACTTACAATCCATCCACAATATTTTTCTCCGGGAAATGTCCGTGCAGGCGTGGGGGAAACGTTTATATATCTTAAAAGCCGGCGCAGACAGGATAACGATGGCTAAGTAGAGAAGCAACAGGACAGGACATGAAAGGTGAATAGCAGGTGGCGCCAAGAAGGAGGTGAACATATATGCTCAAATGCACGCAGAGGAAATCAAAGTGTTGGGCCTTGGATGCCAACGGAGGAAATGCAGGTCACCTCTTTTTCAGTGGGAAAAGAGAGCTTTAAGAAAGAGACCATTGGTCGCATGCTGTTTTCTTTCTCTCTGCTTCTTATTCGAGCATTATTCCTTTTACGTGGCTGAGAACAGGACGCGTTCTTGTTCCCCGTGAAACGGACACTAAAATCCGTGCGATTACGCATGGGGGGTAAAATGGACCAGCTTCTGAAAGCGCCGAAGAGCGAGAGAAGAACCTGCTGGCGGTTTAAAACCCGATTCTGAGTTTCTAGCCCTCTTGACTGCTGCACGTGGAAGGTAACAGGCGACCCTGCCCTACCGATAATGGCTGGATGACACAGTCGGGACTAGATGTTAAGAAATTGTGACATGTGATCCGACTGGGGAGAAGCAGTAGAAGCCCCCTCTGAGTTTGGTTAATAAGATTTAGATCAGTGGTTCTCAACCTATGGGTCGCGACCCCATTTGGGGTCGATCGACCATTTCACGGGGGTCGCCAAGCAAGGCTGTCCGCCATTTTTTTCCCCTTTTCCAGCGGGTGCCTTACCTCCCTTGAGCTGGGCCAGCTGGTGGTCGGCCTGCTCCGTCTCTGCCGCTTGCCAGCTACGCCTCGGCCGGCGCAGAGGCCGGAACCACGGATGTGCGGCACTCCCGGGCAGGGAAAGTCCTTGACTTACGACCAGTTGGGTAGTCCTCGACTTATGACCTGTTTAGTCCTCAACTTACGACCGGTTGGGGGTCGCGGCATTAAAAAGGTTGAGAACCACTGATTTAGATCCTATTTTCATGCCCAAGGCAGGACTAGAACTCACCGTCTCCTGGCGATTGGCCCAAACTCACCCAGCCGGCTTTCGTCCCTAAGGCAGGATTAGAACTCACCCTCTCTTGGTGATTGGCCCGAAGTCATCCAACTGGCTTTCCTGCCTAAGGTGGGACTAGAACTCACCGTCTCCTGGCTAACTTCCAGCTGGGTGAACCAACTCCCACCATTTCAGCAATGGCCGTACAGGCTGGGGAATTCTGGGAGTTGCAGAAACTAATCAAGGAGAGAAGCAACCTAGAACTAAGGAGAAACTTCCTGACAGTGAGAACAATTAACCAGTGGAACAACCTGCCTCCAGAAGCGGTGAATGCTCCAACACTGGAAGTCTTTAAGAAGAGACTGGACAACAGTTTGTCCGAAATGATATAGGGTATCCTGCCTGAGCAGGGGGTTGGACTAGATGACCTCCAAGGTCCCTTCCAACTTTACTATTATTATTATTATTATTATTATTATTATTATTATTATTATTATTATTATTATTATTATTATTATTATTATTATTTCTGGAAGCTGTTGGGGAATGGCAGGCCTGCCATTATTTCGTACCAACGAGCAGCAGCTCTGGAGAGTAGCTTGCCTTCCAGAAAGAAAAAAGAAAAAAAAAAAAACCTGGCCAGGCTTTAATCCCAACTCCACATTAATTGGAATTAAAGGCAACGGTTGGAATCTCTTTTTCCTAAATCAGCAAAAAGCGCACAGATCAATTGGCGAGTTGATTCCATCAGGTAACAGGGCGCACCGAGGCGAACTCCTTCCAATAATGCCTTCTTTCCAAGTGCTTAATCAATGAAATAATATACATATATATATATATATATGAATCCCTGCCAGTATTGAGAGGATAAACATCCAGGAGCTGATGGCCCAAACCTGCAAATTCAGCTTTTTTTTTTGGGGGGGGGGTCATCGCTGGCTTGTTGCTTCAGCAGCTGAACTTTCCAAGAAAACAGGCTGGGAGATGTGAGTTGGGGCACAGTTGCTAAGACCCCACCCCAGAAAAAAAAAAAAGGGGGCACCGGGAATAAGGGGAGGCCCTCTGTGCATGCAGGAGTGGCCGCTTTCTCCTTCTGTGGGCTTGGCTACCCCATGTGCCCTGCAGTAAATTCATACCCAGGGCTTTGAAGTCCCAGAATATATGGCAGGGGGCTAAGCGCCAAGGAGAAACATCCCGCAGAGCCCAAGGGGAGCAGTTGGCACAAGAGGGGGCAAGGATTAAAAGGAAGGAGGCAGAACAGCCCCTTCCAACCTCCAGGCTTAGCTCTATCATCGCTACAGCCGGCAGAAGAAGAAAAAAAAACACCCTGGGAAGCTGTTTTTCCAACATCTCAGGCAAATTAAGAAGTTATTTCAATAATTGGCCAATTAAGCCTAATTTATACTTAGGAAACACATTAATGGTGCTGGCCTCTTGTTCCCCTTCTCCCCCCCCCCACGCCCCCCGCCCGTTCCTGCATCAAGTGGTGCATGTTGACACAAACAAGCCATGATGAGGAGGCTTTCAATGGGGAGGAATAATCTGGGGCTGGCTTATCCCCATGAACTTTGCCTTGTCAGGGGGTGGCAGAGGGGGATCACGTGACTTTGGGTGCGCTGCGACCGTCGTTAAGTAGGAACCAGCTGCCCGGCGCCTGAATTTAGATCCCACGATCGTGGGGAGGCTGCGACGGTCGCAAGCGGTGAAAAACGGCCCTAAGTCCCTTTTTTTAAGGGCCGTTGTAACTTTGAACGGTCACTAAGAGAACTTGTGGTGAGTTGAGGACTGCCTGTGGTTCTAAATGGGGTCTCTCTTTCACGAGTTTCTGCCCGCTGCTTCTTGTCCTGCCTCCGGGCACTCCGGAAAGTCCGTGGGTCCCCTCGTTTCTGTGACAGCCCCCCAAGTCCTGGAAGACGGCTGGCCTGTCACCTCCTGTCTGTCTCCCTAGACCTCCTTCCAGAGAAGGGCTCTTCTTTCTTCCTGCGGGGGGGAGGGGGGTTGCCGCCTAGCAATCTGGAGGCGGTTCTGTGTGCCTGGATTCGGTGTGAAACGCCTTTTATTCTCCGACTTGCCTCTCCTTCCCACAAGGAGGAGGTTAAGGAAGAGAGAGAGAGCACCAGATTCGCCTTCCACTTCGCATTTCATCTTCATAACTACTTGGAAGGAAAGACAGGCTGAGATGCCTTATGGTTCAATATCTCTCCCTCCCTCTCTCTCTATCTATCTCCCTCTCTCCTCTCCCTTCCTCCCTCTCCCTCCCTCCCTCTCTATCTCTATCTATCTCTCCCTTCCTCCCTCCCTCTCTCTTTATCTCTCTCTCCTCTCCCTTCCCTCTCTCTCTCTTTTTCTCTCCATTTATCTTTCTCTCTCTCTATTTCTATCTATCTCTCCCTTCCTCCCTCTCCCTCCCTCTCTTTATCTCTCTCTCCTCTCCCTTCCCTCTCTCTTTTTTCTCTATTTCTCTCTCTCCTCTCCCTTTCCTCCCTCCCTCCTTTCCCTCTTTCTCTCCCTCTATCTATATCTATCTCTCTCCTCTCCCTTCCCTCCTTCCCCCCCTCTCTCCTCTCCCTTCCCTCTCTCTTTTTTCTCTCTCTCTCTCTCTATATATATATATCTCCTCTCCCTTCCTTCCCTCCCTCCCTCTCTCTCACTCTCTCTCTCTCTCTCTCTCTCTCTCACACACACACACACACAGAGAGAGAGAGAGAGAGAGAGAGAAAGAGAGAGAGAGAGACGTTCAGGGCTGAACATGTCACAGCCCAGCACTGCCAGGGCTGCAACACCACACTGGGGGCTTTTGGGTTTTTTTTTTTGCAGAGCTGAGGATGCTATGGGCCTTGAGCCCTGGCATGACTGCATCCCTCGTTCATTTCCACAATCTTTATTCTTCTGGCTCAACACTGAGCCCTGGGAGCTGGTCTTCGGAGTGCGTCGGTTGCAAAACGTAAGGAAGCTTTTAAAACAATCCACCCTGCGAAGCTTTGATTTCCAGATTGCCCGAAGGAGAGTCCCTCGGAAGAAGGAGAAAAGAAGAGGATCCCCTACGCTTGCTCTCGACGTGATTCAGAGGGGGAAGGTGTAAATTCGGCCCCCTCCTCTCCATGGAAAGCCACAAGGGCTTCTTCCGCCCTGGTTTATCTTCCCAAGTTTGATGAAATCAGCCCCGGAGGGGAGGGGAGGTGGGAGAGTAGGCAGGGACTGCTTCTCCCCAGAGCAGACTCCAATTTCAACAAGTGCCCCCACCCTCGAGGAAGGCACACCACGAAAGCAGCCGGGGCCTTTATTATTAATTCAAGCTGACAGGCTGATTCAAGGATTCCAAGAGAGCAGGAAGCCAAACAGACGGTGAACACTGGAACGAGATCTTAAATGATTCACTACATTAAGCCCTCCGCAATCCAATCGGAGGTGGGGAGCCAAGCTAGCAGACATGCTTAGGCTAGCAAAGAGGGCTTGGCAGCTCCTGGACCAAC